ATCTAAAGGCAGTTTTGGACAACCCTTGACTGCTACCCTCAAAAATCACACATTTTATTAAATGAAAATAATTTAGAATAAAGCTTAGCAATGTTCTTCTTTAACTATCAATACACTGACAATTAGGGTGGATGAGGTGTCCAGAAAAGTTTTTGTTGTTGTTTTTTTAGCATACTAGATTTTCCAAAGAGAGTTGTTTCAAAAGGAATTTGTATTTAAAAAAAAAAAAAAGTTAACTTCAATGTTATCAGGCCAAGTCCTCTTCTGCAACTCAGGCAGACCTGTCAAGGCTACAGAAGTATCTGTACTCAAATACAAATCCCAGTGAATAAGTATTAAAGACCAAACCTTCAGTATTTACTGATGACATGCAATGAAATCAAGCAAGCAGTAATAGGACTCCATTTACATTCAAAGCATTCAGAAAGAGACTCTTGCAGTTCAGTTGGGGTACAGGACTGGAATTTCACAAAACATTTGTGAATATTTAACATTCTCTCCCCGCTTCACACACAAAGTAATAGTTTCAGAACAATGCATCTAGGTCATCTGTTGTATAAACAAAATGCTAAGAGCAGAACTGTTTTTCAGAGTTGCTGGACACTCACACTCATTTCAAGAAAATATACAGGTACATCTTGCAATTCATGGTCATTTTGTTTTCCTGCATACCTAGGTTGAGGAAAACAATTCCATAAGAATTCTTTGATCACAATTAAACCAACTCCTCCACAGCACTTTTCACCTCCCTAGGTTAGGAAAGGATTACCTTCTACTACCTTTTCTGAGAGAAAACTTTTTTCTTATAATATAAGCCAACCTCGATTGGGCCTAAGCCACTATGACATCTTTAGGCTATGACATTTGAAGAAGGGCACATGCTTAATCTATGGAATTATAGGAAGAAAGCATAATCCTGACATTCTCAGGTGTTTGGATGCTTTTATGTAAAGGGACTTTTTTTTACAGGTTATATTAATTTCATGAGAATAAGTAAGAATGACATACAAGCTTTGCTTTGAAGACATAAGTGCACCTCAGTTCTGGACAACAGGTCTGCAAGTCTGTCCATAAAAAAAAGATTCTTACAAATACAAGTCCTGCCTCAAACCATAAAGATAAAAACAGCAGACCTACGCAGACTGTATGTGGGTGTGTGCACAATGAGTCAAACAGAAATCAAGATACCTAAGAAGTCACCCTGCAGCACTGATTTTTTGTAACTACAGATCTCTGGTGACTCTCTGTGCCTTCTCCTTTGCCCTTTCAGTTTCACAGAGAAGCTGTCAGGTACTCACGACAAGGAAACATTCAGCAAGGAAATACAAACACCACTGGCAGTGAGTTACTGTGAAGACAACAGTTAGCATTTCAGAGAGAGTAGGGCAAGGAATTATTACTGCACCACTGAATTCTATTAAACTCAATAACCAGCAAGAAGTTAGGGATGAGGCAGAAGGATATGGATATGACTAATGGATATGACTAATGGATATGACTGTTTTTTCCTTCACAAAAGGCTCAGCTTCAGTGTTTTCCAACAATCTCAGATTCTGAATTCCAGTAAATTGTATTTTACAAGAAACCAAAAAATAGCCCTGAGAGTAAACATACTTTTTAAGAGCTGCTATTGCTTTACATAAATAAAACACAGCAATCACTTACTAGCACAGCATGCAATATTTAATTTCCATTCCCTTTTCTCCTTACTTGGGATATGTATGCACAACCAAGGATTATATACGTACATATATAATACATATACGTACTCAAGCATTACCTGTTACTTTTCCAAGCACTTAAATTTGTTACTTACAACAGGATTATGGCAACAAGCAAGGAAATAATAGCTGAAGCAAGTCAAACTTAAAAAAGAAGTCCTCTTCCCCTGGTGCCTTGAGGGTTTTTTTTAAAAAAGGATTCCAACAGTCCTAGCTGCCACCACTGACCTTCATTACAACAATGACCTCCTTCCTCTGACTTGTGTAGAAATTGACAACTTGAAGAACATAGTTTAGTGTATCTCAAACAACTGTCAGTGTTACTGAACACTGCCACCAGCCTTTAAGTGTAGCTAGAAGTGTAAATTACCAAGAAAACAACAGTATTAAGTGTGTCAAATTGTGCATAAAAACAGACCTTTAATTCTTCCTAAGCTACAAAGTAGGCAATCAAAGACTAGGTCTATGCATAGTTAGGATTTAAAGTATGCCAAAAGAACTTAAACCCTTTCAGTAAAACTGTGCTTGAGTAATGCATGGGTTAACCCCCCCAAAAAATCCTGGTTATTCCAATCTATACATAAAAGAATTTTTTAAGAGCTCCATGCTCTCTCAAAGCTATTTTGAAATCTATTTAAATACTTTAACAGCTCTGCTATGGCACAAGACAGCACATCAACAGTTTAAGGCTATTTTTTGTATGCATACATATAAAAGTTGGTCTCAGAACACGAATTGGCATATTTTCTTAATTCTGAGTCTTTAGCGTGGATTCATAACAAAGTAGAGCTGCCATGGCAGATAGTAGAATTGCCCTGTATATAAAAAGGACTGAATGTTGTCCTAAATGCAGTTTGTTTTTATAATCAGCAAAAATCTTGCACATTTACATTTGGTTTTTATCAGAGCAGCTCACTAATTCATACAGTACATTGTGCAATAACATATCAAGTAAACTACCAAAAAGATGCTTAAGTACTACAACAGATGCAAAATAAAGTCCTAGGGTAAGAAAGCCCACTGCTATTTGGGAGAGTCACTCTGTGATGAAAACAAACATCAGAATACAGTTTTGGTGAAGTCAGTTAAGTCTCAAGGCTGTAATAAAGGCTATTTGTTAACTTTAGCCCTTTGGCTCTTAACCGTTCAGTTAAGATCTCCTGATAAAGCACTAGGCAGTTCAGCATTGACAGAGAAGCTCTTTACAAACTACTGTTACAGAAACACAAAACAGACTTACAAACACTCCTGAATTACCTGATCTTCTATGAATCCTGTCAGTCCAGGTTTAAACAAACCTATCTAAAGCAATGTATTTTAGGCTTCAAATCACACTGTAACTGTTTCAGGAGAAATTAATATCCACTATACCTAGAAAAGAATTATCAACCAGTCAAATTACATAAATGTGATGCACAAAGCTGCTTATTTTAAAACTGTTCCTCAACAACTACTTCAGTGTAAATCAGAGCTGTTACTTCAAAACAGTTCTTTAGTCACATCTGCATAGTCCTACTTATTTTGATGCAAAGGAAAATGGTAACCCAAATTCTGCTCATTTGCTAATTTCAGAGGGCTACAATTTTAATACTTTTTTGTACATTTTTCATTTGCTGAATTTTTTGATGATGTTTTAAAAAGGGGTTCATTACACTCTAAACACAGGACTTGTGCATTCTAGTGTGATTTACACTTACTTGTTGAAAAAAGCATATTGCTATCAGTTATTTATGTAGGATTTAAACAGTAAATATGCATCAAAACTATTACTATTGTCTGCACAGGCATGCAGGTTGGTTTTTTTCCTCCTAAGTGAAATGTTTGCAACCAAATATTGCATATTAAGCACAGCATAAAACTGTTGTATTTGCAGTATAATCTTTAAGCAAATGCAGTTATGAGGTGACCCAAGTATGCAAGTGATCTGTGGAAGCTATGTACACGCAAGTCAGTGAGAACTGTGCATGTGTAACAGGCCAAAATTCAGATCCAGAAACTGTTCACGATGACATTTCGAAATGTCTGAATCTAACTCTGTAGAAGAGGTACAAGAACAAATTTTTTTCTAAGTTGATATAACACTGGTATTCAGGTCACAGCAGTTTTTTGCATATATATATTGTATTTACTCAAACCCAGGTAATGCACTCCAGGGACGCATGAGAAACCCCAATGAAGTTCCTGAAGAGTTTCCATTTGCAATTGCCTCACCCTCATTTTCATGTTATTATAATTTCAAAGGTACCATAACCTGCTGCATATCAGGACCAGGTATCAAAAAATCCTTTGTTTTACATGCCAGCCTAAGTTGCTCATCAAAAAGGGAGAACGTAGCCACCATAATAAATTCTGTGTAACAGATACCATGCCTGACAAACCATCACCTTCAACAGACACAAAACACCACTACGACAAAAGGGAGGAGGAAATCATGCACAGATACTTCAGTATTATGTGGCCAGGGTCTGTAACGCAGTGACGAGTTACATCAGAGCAAAGTTGTGCCAAGGATGATTAATGATTCAGGCTGACTCCATAAGTGGCCAAGCAAGCCTGTAAGAAGCAAGTCGCATATTTTCTGAAAGAAAGAATACCGAGTAAGGGGATCATGTTTTTTTCCCCCTCCCTTGCACAAAAATCCTATGGACAAACAGAACTATATTTGGGAAAGTGTTTTAAAATGCAATTTTCCAGCTAATAAACCAAGACCAGTGGAAATTCTGTGAAGGAGTTTTAAGAATGTGACTTACCTGAAGCACAAACTTCCCATATCAAAAAAAAGTACACTATACACTAACACTGCTTTATGGACACTCTTCTGTTTTAAAAGCTTCAAACACATTAACTTGTCTCATTTTGTTTAGGGCTGAGGCTGTTCACCAAGGTCACATAATTAGAGACAACTGAAATACTTCAGCAATCCTTTGGTCCCAGCAGCTGTAAAACAGCCAAGTAAAAAAGAATCTTCCCTACAAAAAAAATAATAAAAATAAAAGGCAGGAGGAGGATCATCACCAGTGAAGTGTCTTCTAAACATCCATCTGCTACACACCAGAAAAGGCAAATTTTTGTTACAAAACACATTTTCATACAAAAGACATCTTGCAAAACCATCTGATTGCCCCTCCCTCTGCAGATTACAATGGTAAATGGGATCAGCTGGTTGGTCTTGAGATTTTTAATGGGGAAAAAAGTCAAAGGACACACAGCATCGTAACAACTGGTCCTTTAAATGTCGAAGTATTATGACAGTCTTTGTTTAAAACAGTGTTTAGAAAAGCAGGAGTGAAAGAGAACTGGAGTCTTTGTAAGCAGAAAGTGCAACAGACCATCAACTGCTGCATCCTCCTGAACTTTTCAATGTGCTACCAAACTCTCAATTACATGAACAGTTCATTGACAACAGTGCCATAAATTGTTAAAACAACACAAATAGTGTAATTAGAAAGGTCCAATCAACTGGTTCAAATTTTTTCCCAGTAGTTGTCCAGAAAAACTTCAAGACAATCTAAATTTATCCTTCAGCTTCCTCAATATGTCCTGACTGCTGGAGTATAGAGGTCTGTGGTATTACTGTACTTGTTCCACGAGAGATCCTGTCCTGATCTGTATTTGTAGACAAGGAAGCCATAGAAATGGGCTGTAACAAACCAGGTGTCATGCCAGAGGAGACAGTCAGGCTGTGTGTACTGCCCTTAAGTGTGAGATCCTGTGTGGGAAGAAGTGGCTTGAGGATACTGACAAGACAGAAAGCAGAGCCGCTTTTAGGAATGAAATTCACCTTGTTCTTGTCAGGGCAGTAGAAGGCTGGAATTTCATGTAACGGCTTTGGCCTAGAAGAAAAATACAAATGTGTTAAAATTACATTGAACAACAACATTCTGTCAATGGCAGGTATGTATTGAGAGAACACATCACCAGGGACAAACCAAGATTTAAACTTGAAGTATTTCAGCTACTCAGACACTCCCACCTCAGGGCAAAAGGCAAGATTGTTTACATATAACACAAGATAAACACCATGTTCTCAGCGCAGGCTGTCTCCAAACCCAAGGAAGATACTAACTACATGTTGCAGATCACAGATTCTGTCCATGAATTGGCATATCCAATATATGATAAAGTACTCCCAGTGAAATTCTCCACTAACTTCCACAACCCAGCAAGTTCTGTCACAGACACAAACACTCTTTATACAGCAAGCCTTGTGAAGGAAAGCTGGCACAACATTGCATATTCTAAGAGCTGTTCATGATCATAGAGAGGCCCCCCTTTTCTAGACTTTTCCCTCCTTTGCAGGTTCACCTGAGAGTGGCCTGAATCTCTGTAAAAGATTATCCTATCTTACTTAAAAACTCAACACTGTAAAATGTAGCATGCCCAAAACAGCATTTGTTATCAAGTACCTATAACCTGGAAAAGAAGCATGGAACACATTTAGATCCTGACTTACAGTTTTGCCTTCTCTGCATATAGTTCAACCTACCCAGAGGAATGCTTTATAAAAGACAGAGCTGGAAGGGAAATTGTGGATAGCACAGGCATGCCTTCCGTGTCTATGTGTAACCCTGCGATGTAACTTTACTAAGCTAGTCTACTTTAAGAATAAACTTTGTGAATCTATTCCAAAGCCTCTCTTTCCTGCTGGAAAACAGCCATCAGAAACTTGTACTCAGTTTTTCTTGTAGCACTGTCCTTCAGCCTATAACCTCCTCTTCTCTTCCATGCGTTTTTAAGACAGCCATATGCACCTCTATTTTCATTTTACTAGACCATGCAAGCCACTCTTTCAGTCTGCTCTTGTAGCAGATACCCTACTTTCAAAACTACTTTCGTTCATGAAATAAGGTACATTTCCATGTTAGTTGATTCTTCAAGTGTCCTGAAAACTCAGCCCCATTGATAGGTTGTTTTGTTGTTTGGTTTTTTTTTCACAAATGAAAAGCCTGTAAACTTCAAACAGAAATAATGTTAATCCAAAGTTGAGCTTTAACTAGCTACACTCATGTATTCCATGTATGTGTGGAATACAGTATCAGATGTGAGAAAGATTTTTGCAAGAAACTTCAGTGTCTTAACAACTGCCAAAGCTAGGTAAAAACTTCTGTAGAAGCCCATTTCACTCTACAGCAGAACAGTCCTACAACTCTGTAGCAAGGACAAATGCAATACAAGTCAAATCACAATAGAGTATGTTCTTGGAGCAAATGAAGACTATCTAATCTGCGGGCAACAGAGTTTACACACATTAAAATAGGAGACAGGTAACTTAAGGTACAGAAACCCTTTCCATGTTGCCATGCAGAGGCCATAGAGACCTCTCAAAAATCCATTTGCAAACATCAGAGATGGAAAATACACAAGGCTGCTGTAATTTTTTTTTAGTTACTGCTTATACTAGATGGCATTGTTGAGATATCATAGGCCGTAAAAGAATTATAAACAAATTATATTCCTTGTGTGATGAAATGAAATTTTTAACTATAGGTGAAAATTCTTGCAACTAAATGATGCAAGGGTACAAAAACACCACCAAAAATAACATAAAAAACCTCAGAATATTCCCAAATGCCAAAAGCTGGCTTTTTCAGAGTAACTGATGCATCAAATACTCAGCATCAAATTCACTCCTGTCACTAAAATTTTCTCAACTACATAGACGTAGCTGAAAAAAAATATTGTGTTCAGACTCAAGATGTACACTTGCTTTACAGCTTCTTAGCATATCTCTCTGTACCTGATTATTTGATTTCCTCCCCCACTATCTGCCAGGTAAGGGAGAATCCTCTCTAGTTACCCTGATTTTAAAAAAGAAAAAAAAAATCTCTCAAGGATTTTTATTTTAATACAGAATTCCAGCAATAAAATACATGCATATATATGAGTATATTGTCACACAAAACAAGAGAGAACAGGCTGTTACTATGGTTTTATAACTGGACTAATAATTTTGATCTGACACAAGAATCAATAAACCAGTGGGTAACTCTAAATGTCAAATGTAATTTGTTATGTAGTAAAAATCAACTTACAAGCTTTCTTCAAAGACTTTCACCTTTTCACAGCCCTCTGGAGGTTCACGCTTAAACATGTAGCTGTTGTTGGGTTTTGGTGAGGTAGCATATTTTGGCAAGGGAGAATTATTCCCATTCTCTGCAGAAACAGAGTGTCTCATGAAAAACAATAAATATCTTTAAATGCCCCCCCAAACTGAAATCCACTTGATTATCAATGTTATAAAAGTAAGAAACATTTTTGTTCCCCTCCAAGTCTTTGCAAATAAGCTTATCTCAATCACTTTCCTACTTTCTATTTCTCCTTGTGTAATTTTCATGTTCCTCTGCAATCTCTATTAATTCCTGGACATTTTCAATTTGTCACTGCAAACCTGAATCTATGCTCCTTTGCCTAGCCTAAAGAAACTGGCAGAAGCCATATTCCTTAAAAACAGAACAGTTTTATGTTTAATTATGAAATTCACCTAGTGCATCTCATAAGATTTCTGAAAAAAAACCCAAACAACACAAAAAACCCCAAACAAACAAACACACCACAACCAACCCCAAGCAGCTAAACTTTCATGGGTCGATGTATGAAATGCTAGGTGGTTACACTGTATGCTACTGCTTCTCCAACTTGCTTAAAGTGCTTGAGGAATATATTATTTAAAAACAAAAACTTGTTTCAGAAGCACATTCCTCAGTCACATCTATCCAGCTTCAATTACAGAACACTAGATATGTGCATACACACGGTATTCAGAGCAATTTGGAAAAAACAGATTACTTAAAAAACAACTTCCTACCATTTCTCAATGGATATGGGAAACAAAAGCCCTTTTACTACATGTTCACACAGCAATGAGTTCAAGTTTAGCACTATTGAACTTTAAAGTAACACAGTACCTTTATCTCTGGAATCAGCAAGAAGATCATCTGTAGAACATGGACTTTCTTCATTGCCTTCGTTACAGATGGTAAGAAATGAGTTTGGAGATACTGACTGCGATCGACTGCTGCTGTTGCTACCCCTGTCTGCTCCACCAGGTGTTTGGGTATCAATGCTGCGAGTACTACTACTACGCTGAACCAACGGAGGTGGTGCACGGTGCCCATCTGGAATATCTTGAGGCTGTTAGAAAAAAAGGTATTGGATGGCTGCTCTTATCTAGTTAGCTATTTCTTTAAGCACACATTGAAAAGATCCCCTTGAGATTTCTTTTCTCAAGGCTGAACAGCCTTTTCTCATCCGAAAAATGTTTCAGTCCCTTAATCATCGTTGTGGCCTGTATTTCGGATACTTTATTACTAAGTTTACCACTAAGAATACCTAAAACAAAAAATTAAAATGGGCAAGTTACCCTTCAAATGGGATGCAGACAGGGCAACATGGGCAAAAAGAAAAAGTTACTACAAAAACTTTCAAAACAGACCTTGTGCCTCTTCCCCTGTTTTACTAAGATTTCTTCTTTTATTGGAAAACAAATTACATCACAGTAGCCATACATAAACTGTTCAGATTCAAACTTTAACTCTTTCCTTCATTTTGCCTTTCAAGAGACTTTTCAACTAGCTTTATTAAAGAAAGCAAAATTAATTTCAGACAGATTTAATTTAAAAACTGTAAAATAAAGCTTGACTTAAAATCCTCAGAGCAAAACCACAATAATTATAGAAAGCAATCATGGTAGCAGATACATACAACAAGCTCTTCCTCTTTGTCTCCAGTCTCCTTAATTATTATCTCAATCTCCTGATTGAGTCCTTCTACACTGTTTCGGAATCGTGAACCTGTTGATTTGGTAATAGGTATCACAGGAACAAGAGCACTCTTTGGGATGGGAGCCTGGAGAACCACAGACAATAAGAAAGCAATGTAGATTTACTTACTAAGCAGTTACTATTTCTACTAAAAGTGAACCTTTAAACAGAACACATCTATAATTCAGTATCAACAATTTACATGAAACTATGGTGATTGTGTAAAATGGATACCTTAAATGAAGATACAGACATCCTGGATTTTGTTTCAAATTGCTTTCTAGCAGGAAAAGCTTTAAACAATTTAATCTCAAAACTTCTCTTGATATGGTCTACCTCCAGCTCAACACTGCTTTACAAAGAAAAATGTTACAGCAAACATTTTAATGTAAGCAATCTTGAAGCCTTTAAAATATATTCATGTTCCTTCTGAAATGAGCTGCTATACAACCATTTTTCTTCCTTCACTCTTGGATTTATCATTTGTAATTTCATTAAATCTGCATTTTATTGGAAGTCTGCTGTCACCTATAGTAACAGGACACATGCAGATGGAAAATTATTCCACAAATGCAAGCCTGCATTATGCTAGAAATTAAGACCAATGTAGGAACTGTATTAAGCCAAAATAAAAGGTTGACAAAACAACTTAGGAAGACTTCCACAGAAAAAATAATATTCCAAACTCAAACATTAATATATAGTTACTTCATAATGGAGATTAACATTTAAAAAAGCCAGGGTTTCACAGTATGTATGAAAACCCCATTGTCAGAAAACACGGTACTAAGTACTCCAGAGCCCCTTTTGATACACCACAACCTTGTTTTCCCCATCCTCTCCATTAACATCCTCCTCCATTAAAAAATCAAGCTACCAGAACATTAGAAGATTCTGCCCTAAACTTCAACAGACTTTTTGCAATTATGTAGGGCAAATTGAATGTTTTCTGCAAGCACTTAGTTCAACTCAAAAGACCAGCTTGGCACTTAAAGTCTCAGTAGAATCCCTGTGTAAAATTCCTAGACTCCATGGCCTAGTGAGCTGTGACTATGTCCTCTACTGACTGAAAGAAGGTAGGCAGCATTCTCACCTTCAAAGCCGTTTGTGGCTTTTTTTTCCCCTCTAAGTAACAAGACTATGCACAGACAGACTCCAAAATACTGCAACTTTGCATTTGAATTCTTAAAAACTACATAAAATTGGCTTAGCAGAAGAACTACCTTAGAAAAATTAACATAAACAAGAGAATTCTAAATGCAGATAATAATGCAGAGTTTCTAAGACAGCAAAACTTATGCATTATATTGCTTTTGCTTCACCCAAACATTAGAAAAAGCTAAAAAAAACCCAACAAACAACAAAAAAGCCAAAGGCTTGCACAAGAACTACAACAGCTTCTGCTCAGGAAATGCTTGTGATTCTGTTTATGACAACAAAACCCAAACATGCTCATAATGGCCAAACTTGGAAATGCTTTCAAAAGTAATCTTCAAAAGATGATGAAAAAGAGAAAATAGAAACCACTGCAGAAAAGCACAAAAAAGCCTGAGAAATCAACCCTGCCTGTTCCAAACAAGGCCTTGGATCAACAATCCAGTAAACTAACACAAGCCATCATCTGGACATAATACAGGTACATACATCAGCACAAGCATAGGCGCTAATAAAGACCGTTTATGCACCCAATTATTAAATAGTACATTCTTAGGACAAATTGAACTTTTTAACAAGTTGAAAGCATAATGCTTATCTAAGACTTCAGCAGCCATTACCAAAACATTATTTCCTACCACAGCAATTAGAAAAGCACAAGTTGCTCCAATAGAGTTTCTTATGGTTCAGTACAGCATGTTTTACTTCCAAGAGAAGTAACACATTGTACATGACTAAGAATGACTTGTTAACCCAGAGTGTTGGAAGGTGGAAAGGGAAGGAGGTACCGTTACAGGGTTGGAACAACCAGCCTCAAAACAATAATATTTGCATTGGAAATACTGTTTTCACAGAGGTCTGCATGGAGCTGGGCCCTGACATGCTCGAATAGGCTACCAATGTCTGACTACTCACCTTCCTATTTAGGAATGCAAAAAATGAAGGTCTCAAACACATGATCATAAATGTAGTGCTCACGTAACACCATACTGTCAGAAAATTAAGAGACCTGAAACTTACAGGAAAGGCATAAGCTCACAAGATACCAATTAAGGGTGATGACAAAATTAAATTTTCAGAGGCATTTCAGAAAAGTTATTGAAGCTTTTCCAATTTTTCAACAAGCAACAGAACTTTAATAGAATCCAAGGTCTTTTGATGCTTTCAGATATTAACATTAATACACCTCAAGGTTGAATGCATCATGGTAAATCCACTCTATAATGAAATGTGCTTGCTACCTATGTAATGTGGTAACAGTGAAAAAAATGCAAAACTGCAAAACTCTATCTGGTTGGTCTCAATATTGGTGGATGCTTAGGATCAATCAACTGATAAGACATTAAGGACACATGCTTCCCAGGAAAGTGAAAGGAGCAGGCTTGGTTCATAGAGTCCAGCAGTAGTATAACAACAGCAAATTGCACTGAGAAAAAAAGATTATTCTGAAAGCCCTAATCCATTTATTCTTCCACCTGGCTTCAGGTCTGGCCTCAATTCTAGTTTCTCCATTACATTAAAGCCGAGAATAAAGGAAGAACCCACTGGTTTGACTCCTGTTTACAGATTTAGTAACATGCAATTGACTCAAAATCCAACAGTCTTGGAAGCACCCCGAGATCATCTGAGGAGGCTATAACCCTTCTGCAAACTCATCTTCCTGTAGAAAGAGGCAGAATTGAACATTTCTGTCATCATGAAAAAATAAACTAAAAACACATTCAATTGCTCTGGGAAAAAAAAAAAAAAAAAAAAAAAAAGAGTAGTCAGGAACAAGGACTTGATCAAGTTCCTCACCAACTATTTCCTCATTTTGATTAGAGTGAAAAGAATAACTAACAAATTATTCCATAGAGATTGTGTGGATTTTTTTCTTAAAAAAAAATAAAAATAGAATGAAAAAGTACAACTAAACAATCAATTGGAAGCCCTTAGGTAGCAAGAATCACTGTAAAAATTCTGTTTAATCTCAAGAACTGTGGCAAAGCTTAAGCGTCTACTAGTAGGAAAGAGGAAATAAATACACTGGAATTGCTTCTTTAATTTAAATTAGAAGAGTATGTCATTTCCAAAATGTTAAACAGTTTACCTGGTCTCTGAGAAGGGACTAACAAGGCAATTTCCTAACACATTTTCTCAACCTTGTCAGGAATCCAACCCTGGATTCTTAGAAACCTTTGTATGACCCTCTAGAATAAACAACTGCAAGTTTTCTTCAGTTTGGAAATTTTAAAAAATATAAATTCTAAATATTCTAATCACTAGCAGCAAGTGTTTCCACACAGTCCTTCCCACAACTCCTGAAGGAACTGAGCTGGTCTCAGAAATACTAGTATAGCAGCTCCCTGCAAAAGCATGAGAAAGCTTAGGAACTTCGCTCTTGATGCCCACAGTTACAGATTTTCACTCTGACTTAGAAAGCAGCCTTTAAATGCCACTAATTTAACTTTTCATTTACTCTTTTTGAAGTCATCTGTAACTTCCTCCCTTCACAAGTAGCTGGACACAGTTGGCACAAAATTTACCGAGCAATACAATGGCTTGCCTTGTAACACAATGCTGAAAAAACTGCTTTGCCTCAGTTTATGTTTTATAGTCTGTTTCACAGGCTTAAAAGCTAATTATCTGTTGTGCAATATTTTATTCACATACTCTAAATTTTGGCAGAACTTAAAAAGACCTTCCCACAAAAAGCAAAATTTAATGAGCATGATAATAAAATAATTATGATGCAAAAACCACATACATAATTTGAAATGGGGTATTCTTCATAGTAGTAGCATCACTGTTCATTTTCAAAACAAAAAACCACAAAGATCATCTATGTTAAAGTGAGAATAACCTAGCATTCAAAAATCTACAGGTTTGTACAATACCAAGCCAAACCTGTTAGACTGCATGTAATTCTCTGGAGTGCTGAAGGGCCTACAAGAGAAGTTCCTCAGTACACTATTTTTGTTGTTGTTGTTGAAATGCCTCAATTGCCCACAAGTACAGAACAAATCTCCAAAAAAGTAAACAAGACCTGAATTTTTTTTTTTTTTTTTTTTTTTTTTTTTTCTTTTTAAATAGTGGAAAAGAAGTCTCAGTAGTTAGACATTGAGCAGTTTAATACTGAAACACTACTCAGAAACTTTAAGAACACTGAGGTATATATATATATATGTATAACATTTTGGAATGTTCTGACTTAAACGACAGCCGTCACTAAGATTAGCAGCATCCTACACTACATGCATACTGTGGTAAAGCAGATTAAAATGTAGACATACTAGATAGCCTGTTTCAAATTAAAATTGTTCTTCTGCTACTCAGAAGGAAACAGTTTCATTTCAAGATTTAAGGAGTCTGAAGAAGTAATTCCTAAATTATTATGTCAAAAAAGGTAATTCTAAAAAAGTCTAGTACAGTACTTATAACAATATAAAGTACTGAACTCAAGAGGCACTTATGTCCTGAAAATCCATTACTTGTAATTAGCTGAACTGTAACAAGGATAAGTTAGGGTCTGAGACAAAAGATGCTACTGATTTTTATACAAAAGCAGGAGTTCAGAAGAACAGTGCAGGAGAAATTAAAAACACTGCTGTACTTTCTTATTTCCAGTCTTGAAGTATAACAGATTCACTCAGACACCTGACTTATATCTAAAAAAGAACGTGGCTGTTCAGGACTGTATGTATGGTTCTCCCTTCCATGTTTTATTTCATCCTTTATCAGAATTGGCAAGTACCTGTAGAGCAGGACACATGCTGATGTCACAAAAGCTTTTCTCCCTGGCCTAAATTACTTCCGTAAGTATGGAATGACAAAAAGGAAACAGTTTTAATTAACTGGTATCCCAGTACAATATTTTTTATAAGAATGCTAACTGTATTTCAGGAGTAACTGGGAATATGATTAGATCAGCAGAGAAGCTTCAAAGCTCAAGTACTTTCTCAATTCACGACACCGACTGTTCCACAATTTCTTTCAACTACATTGTCTTGCAAGGCAATTGTGGGGGATTTGTTCTTCTTGTAACTTCTTGTAACTGTTACAATAATTGTGTATATATTGTAGATATAAATGTGATACATCAGGAGGGGGGGAAGTGTTCCTTTGAGAAAGTGACGAAACTTTCCTATTGGTTTTCTTAAAAATACTCAAGCAAAAGACACTTGAAAAAGTATCTGTGTTTCTAAGAGCCTGTAATTTTTTTTCTACCTGCTATGAACTAAGTTAGAAATATTATCTCTCTGTGAACCTGACTTCATTAGCAGTCTTGAGATAAAACTAAAACTGCACACAGAAAATGTGTGATCAGCAAAAACTACAAATTTATTTTACTGTATCATTTTACCACCCGTTTGCTCCATGTCATATTGTACATGCAAATTCAGAACTGTTACAGCAATGAATTATTAAAAAGATAAATCTATGGTTCTAGATTAAACTTATCCATCATCCTTTTGTAGAGTCTGCGGAATGCACTTTAACAGATAGCTAGAAGGATCTATCCATCTGAAATTCTTTGAAATTGGGAGTTCAAAGCCAACCCAGTCAAGTAACAAAAAGATCCAGAACATCATAGACTAGACGAAATGGAAGGGAACATCTCTTTTTTGTAGAATTCACCTATAGGTACAGTATGTTTAGCACTATATGGTATTTTTAAGTTGCCTTTAAAGCAAATCACAACCTTTAAAGGATCTTAAAATAGTATTAGCTACCCAACCTGTCCAAAAAACACAGCCTTACCTGACTGTGGTTAATGGCTGCATGGTTACCATGAAAGGGAGACTGTCTTTCTTTATCGCGATGATGCCTGCTGCTGTGTTTGCTTCTCTGCAATTGCTGACGCAATTTTGCAATCTAATAAAGGAAAAAGTCACATCAGATTTCCACAGTTACATTCAGGTACACACAGTTTAATCCATTTTATTCCACCACTCAGTTAAGATTCTTTACTGCCACAACATTCATAATTATTGCCAGCACTAAATTAGACTGAAGTTCTTGCAAACTCAACACGTTAGCTAGCAGTTCAGCCCAGAAGATACCTCTAGAGGTTTAATGAAATAATGTGATAAACCTAAAGTTGGAAAGTAGTCTGTTCATGGCTGTATTTCCTTCTTTGATGAAGAATTTGACACTTTCTTTCCCACACATTCAGCTTATAAATTTTAATAGTTCTGCATTTTTCTATGAAATCAATATGAAACTAACAGCCATTTCTTGTATTTTTACCAAACCCATGATAAATCAAAGCAGTACAATATTTATGCCTTCCAGAAAGCACACTGTAACAGTGCATACCAGTAAAAAATCTAATCCAAAGGTATCTCAAATAATAGCATTTCTGACCTCCTTGAGTTGATCATTACTGCCCCATGATGCTGAACGTTTGTGTGAGCTTCTCTTCTTTTCTAAATACTCTTCAGCCCAGGCACTTTCAGTCTGCAGCAAGAAGTTCACAGAATTAAAAGAAAGCTTTCTGGCAAAATATTTTGAGATAAATTAGAAGACAGAAAAGTGTTAAGATTTGCTAGGTTGAGAACTATAAGTGAAAGTAGTCACTGACTAGAAGCATGTCTGACAAGTAAAGTAGAAAAACTGGAGTGGAACTACGTTATTAAAAAAAATAGAAAACAAACAACAACACAGAAAACTTGCAACTTTCAGACCTACTCTAATACAGGAATGTGCTAGTTTTCACTCCAAATTATTAAGCATAAGGTAGTATTGACAGCCAGATGTACCACAAGCTGTAACAGAGCTCTGCAGAACTCATATGACAGAGCTGAATTTGGGGAGATGATACATTTTATTTCTTTCACAGAAGCCTACCTTGTTATTTCTGACACATTAGCAAGAGTAGCTTGGTGTAAACATTGTAAAAGCCTGCACCAGTACAGCTTCAAAATCATGTTCATGCTCAGAAGAATGAGAAAAACGAAGGCAAGGCATACAAGCAGCACTGTATCTATTACAAAACAGGGAATTATTTTATTAACGCCTCAAAGGGCTTCAGGTTCAGTTATCTCAGGTCAAGCAGAAAGCAACACAGGTAATACTAAGCCAGTTTCACCAAAGCAACCAAGTCATTAATATTTAAGATAGAAACTTGCAAACATACTGTGGTGAAAAAGTTCTGAGAAATTCAAAGTATCATTAAGGCAAGCCATATTTATTTAAGGGTAGCAAAATGGACAGGCAAGCCTGTGATAATACTGGATGCTTTGTGACAGTTTGCACTCCTGCTTAACACTGTCCAGATGACCTTCAAAAGCAGTGAACTGTAAAGGCTCTAAGAAGAGGGATAGTACATCTATCAGGAATCTCCATGCAGTCACAAAAAACATACCTAAGAAAGCAGGGAGAAGGATTTCTGGAAGTAGCTTACATAGTGAAAGTGACAGCGAATTCCTTTGAATTCACTGTTGCCACAGTGCAGCTCTTAGCACACAGCAGTGCTCTAGCTATCACAGCTTTAGAAGTCACTGATAGCTCACCTTCTCCTACAGACAGGAACTTAGATTGCCTCAAAGCCTTCACATCTCCAGCATGCAAAAGATGTAATTACATTTGAGAAACAGCTTGCAAGACACAAGCTGACCCTTCTTATCCCATCTGTATCAGAGCACAGAAACTCACAAGGCCTTCAATGACGTGTTATTTTTTAATCCCCATTTTCCAGGGAAAATTGAGGTGTAATTCCAAACATAGAGGTTGCAATTCGCATCACTTTGAGATAAAAGTTTCATCTAAATGAAACCTTCACTATCAGTATTTTTTAATCTTCTTCATTTGAAAAAAAAAAACAAAAAACCAAAAAAACCCCCTAGGATAAATATGAATAATAATAATGCAGCAGCATTGCTTTGTAATTCTTATTTCATAGCAAAATTAGAACCCTTTAGAATTTATTTTCCATCTTATCTTCATAATAAAATAGTAATTGGTAGCTCCCATCCCCAAGTTTCCATTTTTTAATCAATTGCCAATCCAGAGTCTCATCCCATCCTCTATCTTCTTAGGCAATTTTAGACACAAATTCTAACTTCCCAACTCAACACAATCCTTACAATTGCCTACAGTATTATAATTAACACTCTAATTAACTTTTGCATTTAAATTATATTCAAGATTTTTACTCAAGAAAATGAAACCTTCACTATCAGTATTTTTTAATCTTCTTCATTTGAAAAAAAAAAACAACAACCAAAAAAACCCCCTAGGATAAATATGAATAATAATAATGCAGCAGCATTGCTTTGTAATTCTTATTTCATAGCAAAATTAGAACCCTTTAGAATTTATTTTCCATCTTATCTTCATAATAAAATAGTAATTGGTAGCTCCCATCCCCAAGTTTCCATTTTTTAATCAATTGCCAATCCAGAGTCTCATCCCATCCTCTATCTTCTTAGGCAATTTTAGACACAAATTCTAACTTCCCAACTCAACACAATCCTTACAATTGCCTACAGTATTATAATTAACACTCTAATTAACTTTTGCATTTAAATTATATTCAAGATTTTTACTCAAGATTCAAGGCTTATTTCATTAAATAATATCTGACTCATTTTAAAGGTTAAGGATTGCTTTGATACTCATTCTCAAAACAGTCAGAAATCTTTTTAGAGCAAGAGTAAGAAAGACATTAAATTATAAGAAGCCTTTACCTCAAGACAAAAGTATAAGATTATTTTGGCAACTCTCCTGACTTTTTCCCCACATTTTGTTTATAATAGTTATTTTCAAGAAACACAGACTCAATAAACAACAGGCAATGAGGGATTCCTATTTCTCTAGGCTATTGAGGTACTACTATTTGCTTATTAGTTGCTACCATTCATAAAATCCTTTTGCCTGTTCTAGAATTACAAAAATAAATTAGTTTAAGGTTAAACCTATCTCTGTTAGTAGAACACTTAAGATAAAGTCTAAGATGCAAAAACTTCATAGTTGAAATTCATTACTCTTTAAGAAATAAAAAAATACAAAATAACTGTTGTATTTCTCTTCAATTTTGACATAGCTGTACTTCAAACAACCACAGCCAAAGTCAAACAGGTTTCATTCCAAGCAAAGAAGACAAGATTACAAACAGCAGCACTTAAAACATGTATCTGCATGAATGAATTCTAGCCAGACCATAGGACAGCTCAGCAACACACATCATCCAACAAACATTCTGCATGTATATAACTCACTCTGGTTTTATAGACAGATTTCATCAAAATAATCAGTTGAAGCATGAGTCTGATACATAGCCAGTCTCTGTGTGACCTGGGATATCTTCCACAGCTCTCAGCTATGACATATGGGCATCTCTAGAAAGGTCTGAAAGCCAAAGTGTGTCACTAACTGCTGTCTCTTTCCAGTTTGCTTCCTGAACAACTCTACTCCCTCTGCCATAAATCTGCAGAATCAAGATACTCTGCTTATGCAACTTGAAAGTCTTTTGTATCTCAGTAGACTCAATTCCTGTTCCCTAAACTTTTGAAATCTGAATGCAACCATTCCATCTCAGACTTTCTAAAATTTGAAATTACACACTGGAGCCAGAATATCTTGTAAGTGAAACTTCATCCAAATATCTGGTCTTTAGAAACAATAAATGATACAAATGGCAAGCCTATAATTTCTTGGGAAAAGAACTATTGTAAATCACATTTTAAAACTTGTTCCTAGCTTACGAGGTTGCTCTCAAGCACACCAGAAAGATTAAAAGCAATAATGTCTCATAAGTGTCATATCAATATAAGCTTTAGATATACGGATGTATGTCTGTAGCCCAAAACTTGCTACTGGTTTGATAAATCTTAAATTAGGAAGTGCGAACAGATCATTCCGTTTCCCTCAGCAATGTATTAACATCAATCACCACCACTGACTTCACTCATTCTGCAGAAATATCCGATGCCCTCTACAGTCTTGCCATTAATCTCTGCACATTTCCCCTTACACATGAAAGCCCCACTACCACAGCACCTAGATGTATCAGAATTGGAAGAAAAAGACAAAATAAAAATATAAACCAAAAAGGATGGCATCTAATCTAGCTAGAAAGTTCACAGAATATAATAGCCCAACCATGACTCAGATTAAACTGCAACTAAGCTGAAGGAGATCAACTGAATATAGCAAATACTTTGGTAGCAATATAGAAATGTAATTATTTTGAAAAAAAAAGTATTATTCTAAGAAATTAAATATGAAAAAAAAATAGCTAAGGCACCCCGACTGGCTTAGTTCTGTCCTCTAATAGCTAAGCATGAACAGCAACTCCTTGTCTATCTTACACTCAGAGAATTGCTGGAGTTGGAAGTGACCTCTAGAGATCATCTAGTCCAACTCTCCCACTGAAGTAAAGCACTTTGCACAGGACTGCATCCAGGCAGGTTTTTAATATCTCCGGAGATGGAGACTCCACAACCTCCCTGGACAGCCTGTTCCAGTGCTCCGTCACCCTCACTGTGAATAATTTTTTCCTCATATTTAAATGGAACTTCCTATGTTCCAACTTGTATCCATTGCCCCTTATTCTGACACTGGGAACTACTGAGAAGAGCCTGTATCCATCTTCCTTGCATCCACCCCTTAGATACTTATATATATTGATAAGGTCTCCCCTCAGCCTTCTCATCTCCAGGTTAAAGAGTCCCAGCTCTTTCAGCCTTTCCTCATAACAGAGATGCTCCAATCTCCCTATCATCTTCACCACCCTCCTCTGGACTCTCTCCCTCTCCAGTAGTTCCCTGTCTCTCTTGAACTGTGCAGCCAAGAACTGGATGCAGTATTCCAGCTGTGGCCTCAAAAGGACAGCGTAGAGAGGGAGAATATCTCCCTCAACCTACTGGCCACACTCTTCCTAATGCATCCCAGGATTCCACTGGCCTTCTTGGCAGCAAGGGCACACTGCTGGCTCATGGATAATTTACTGTCTACCAGGACTACCAGATACTTCTCCTCCAAAATGCTTTCCAGCAGATCTACGCCGAACCTATATTGGTGCTTGGTGTTCTTCCTCCCCAGATGCAGAACCCTACACTACTTGTCCTTGTTGAACCTCATAAGGTTCTTCTCTGCCCAACTCTCCAGCCTGTCCAGGTGATGCTGAATGGCAGCACAGCCCTCTGGAGTGTCAGCCTCCCTTCCTAGTTTGGTATCATCAGCAAACTTGCTGAGGACACACTCTGTCCCCTCATCCAGATCATTGATGAACATGTTGAACAAGACTGGACCGAGTACTGATCCCTGAGGGACACTGCTGGCTACAGGCCTCCAACTTGACCCTGATCCGTTGATCACCACCCTCTGAGATCTCTCACACAGTCAGCTCTCAATCCACCTCACTGTCCACTCATCAAGCCCACTCTTCGGGAGTTCCTAACAAGGATGTTTTGGGAGATAGTATCAAAAGCCTTGCTGAAGTCAAGGTAGATGACATCCATTGCTCTCCCCTCATCTAGCCAGCCAGTAATGATGTCATAGAAGGCAATCAGGTTGGTCAAGCTCTTTGGTGAATCCATGCTGACTTCTCCCAATGACATTCTTCGTTTTCACATGTTTTGTGATAACGTCCAGAATTATTTTTTCTAACATCTTAGCAGGGACAGAGGTGAGACTACCCAGCCTATAGTTCCCTGGGTCCTCCTTCTTGCCCTTTTTGAAGACCAGAGTGACATTAGCCCTCCTCCTCTCATCATGATTTGCTTACCTTTTTCAACCCATCTTCTAACTATTTTTTTCCAATTCACTTTCCTCCAGAGAAAACTTGTTCCTCAGCTCTCCTTTCTTCACCAGTTTCTATTTCCACTTTTTCCCCTACAAAACACTTTACTTCTCTACAGATGTGCTTCAAATTGTGGTCCTTTCTGCAAACTGTTCTGCATCCAGAGAAGATGATAATGTAGCAATGCTGCAGACATCACCTGCTCAACATCCTGCACATCAGAGTAGACAGCACACAAAAATATAGGTAGCCACATTTTTGTTATTTTTACCAAACCCAAAGCAGGCTCAGACTCAAGTAGGTCCCACATGCTGTCCGTTTCTTTTCCAACTGCATTTTATTTATGAACTTGGAAATTGATGGGGGGTTATTGTTGAAACCATGCTCCAGGGCTTTAAAATCTGAAGTCTGACTCTTTCTTTCACTCTACAACCTACAGAAATCCACTGTCTGACTGCATCCACAGAAGGAGAAATGAAACACTACAACACTTTATGGAAAAATCAAGCTTGAATCTGTTCTGCACACAGGAGGATTCATGTAACAACAGCTCACTTTAATGGGAATGACAAAACAACTGTCAAGATAAGCGTTCACTCTTGTAAGGCTGGTTTCATTCAATTGTTTGTTAGTTCTGTCTTTACAGAAGACATAGGACTAAACCTTTAAAACCTTTGAAATTTTTTCAAGTTGTTGAAGTTTATTGGCAAATAATGTACTTCAATACTTTCCAGCTGAGCTAAATTTGAACATTATTCATGATTCAGTGAGGCAGTTCTTCAATGCGAGTAATTCTGTACTTGGTGAATAGATCCCAGATGAACATTAAAAGGCCTTTTACAATCACAGGATGAACAGCCTATCATAGAAAAGGCTACATTAATACAGGCACTACAGAAGCTTTTTTATTCAGTTTTAAGACAGACATCTAAGGAGTCACTAAGTTCTCTTGTATAAATTTAAACTAAATATTACTTAATACCAGTGCAATCTAGTTTCATTTTCAGGACATAATTTGAAAGTTATTAGGAACTTGCAAGCAAGCAAGCTAATGTGAATGTTTTTCAGGAAAAACTTTACATTTAAATCATGTCTTCACATTTAAATCCTTCAAAGACCAAAATCTATCCTACCTGTGTGGCTTTGTCTCTCATACATGGAGCAGCTTGGCCATGATTATCACGAGGCCATTGTCCAGCAAGGTATGGAGCAGCAAGTGTATCCAATGAGGAAGTCCGCCGAACAATACTGGAAGGGCTTGATGAAGGTGGTCTTGACTTGTCAGCTAGAAAAAAAAACAAAACCAAAACAATTGATTAGAAAGAAAGCAAGACAGAGATATTAACTATTTTAATTACCTACAAGAAATCATATCAAATCGGAACGACTATTTTATTAAGTATACAACAAGATGCTTTTAATAAAATAATTAAGTTTGCTTTTCCAGGCTCTACTTTGGTTTAGTAGGCACTGAAAGGTGTTTTTTAAGGTTTCCTTAATAACATTCATACATCACAAACATTGTATTAGTACTCACACGCCACCATTTAATCCCTCAAAGATGTAACAGTCCTCGATTCTTAAATGATGAAGGTTTGAAATAAACAAACATAGCTAAGTTTCCTTGTAGATAAAGGCTAACAAAGAAAATCTGTGCTTAAGTTTTTCAATTTAATGCCAAGTTTATAGTTCATTCTACTAACCCTTTACCCTTCACCTACTTTAAAGGACGCTGTAAACTGACAGGTTTTATTAACCACCCAGTATATATGGCAGATGCACAATTATGTTTAACCCTTAGATCCAGAAGTCAACTTTTATAAGGTAATTATTAACTTTTACAATATATTTAATTTATCTCCTTCCTTTACATCCTACTTTCATATTTACCGACACTACACCTTCTGCAACATCTCATTTTTAGTGTCTACATTGATATAATTTTCCAGAACAATTCAGATATTAACAGGAACACTTACTGAAAAAGGTTAAATAAAACCAGCACAAAAGGTAACATAAGAAGGAAGAATACAGTTAAAAACAAAAATTTGCATCTGTCCTGCCAATGATATCTTAAACTGGCAGTAAAAGACTATGCTGTCAGCTAGGAAGTGTAAACATGGTAAAGATAGGCTCCTCAAAGTAGAAAGTGAGGTTTCCTAGAATGACTGGCAAGCAGAAAAGACCCAGAGTTTAGATATACATGTATGCTCATACATCATACATTACTAACTATTCCTGATGTAAAACACAAATCCAGCGATTACAATGATCTAAATTTACTATCAACTAATCTACTTTCCACAAAAGTACACCTGAAAGAACTGTGTATTCATCTTCTCTATAATGAACACAAAGGCCTAAACCAGAAGAACAGCAAACAAGATACAGAGATCAGATGGAAAAATTCAGTCATATGTGCTTCCTGACCATGCTTTAGGATGAATCCTTCAATAAAAGTACAAATAACACAGCAATTTGTATTAGAATTAAAATAAACTCCTTTATGGGCAAAAGCAGTTGTGCCCAGTTAGTGTCTGACTGGTAGTTAGAAAACAAAAACACTGCCATCACAAGTCCAGAATTCCATTTCTAAGCCATTTCAATAATAATAAAACCTGGTAGGTATAGATTTCAATAATGCAGACAATATCTTAGTCTCACAAACAACAGTCTGTCAAACATAAGACTAGTGACATTCTATACTATATATCCTAATGCAAATTCTGAATTACAAAGTATACGTTAGAAGTGTAGAAAATATTTCAATCCGACTATAAGAAAATAGTGATTAGCACTGTGATCAGCCACATGCACATAAAGCAATTCAGGAACCCCTTCTGATTTATTATTTCTACTAGTACCAACAACAATAAAATTTTACTACTGAGCTCACTGCAGATCTGCTCTCAGGAAGAAGAAGCAAAGCTCAGTTTTGGAGTTAACATGCATTTAATACCCCATCACCAAAGAAGTTATCTGACTACTACTACCATCATACAGCACAGTGAAGGCTCTGTTTGCATGAGAAGGTTTCAAAATTATTACTTTTGTCTGTACCACAGGATAATGTCGCATGTTAACATAATGTGTTGTTCCACAGATACTACATTTGCTTCCAAAGTTATATCAAATATATTATTTGTCTCGTAAATAGCTGTCATTCTCTCCCCATTTATTTTTCTTCTGAATTATTACTCTTCCTCTTCAAGAAGCTTCTCTCTTTTTACCAAGGGGAAACAGAAAAAAAAAAAAATAAATCAGGAAGTGTATGTAGTCAGTCACATCATCTGCAAAGCCACTGAAGCAGATAGCTTCAAAACAAACATCTGAAACTATTACCCTCTCCCCTCCCCCCAACAGCAACAACAACAAAAAAAAATACAAAACAAAAATAATATTTTGCTGGGAAAAAGAGAATGAATGAAAAGAGAGTCTGTTCAAGGGAAGCTGTTCATTTCAAGGGACAAAGGCTATAAGCACTCTTTTCCTCTGATATAAAAATTGCTCCAAGGAATTCTGTTTTCAAATTACTTTTCTTTGGAAGGGGCAAGGATGTTTGGATATGTTTCTACTTACTTTTCCACCTTCACAACCTATCTTAATACAAACTGTCAATCTACTCCAAAACTCCTCTTACTGTTTCAAAACATTTCAATGGGAATAGAGACAATGTTTTCATTGCACTTTCCTCTGCAATACTTGAAGCAAGTGTGCAGCTGCTATTTTTCCTTGATGTGACCTACATAACAAGAGATCTGCCTCCATAGAGATAACAGTTACAACAGCTGTGGGTGATGAAAAACAATGGAGCTGTTTCATCAAATAGATGCTTCTTAAATATTAGATCTGTTTTAATTGGCCTGATTATCTCTTTAAACTAATATTTGTGATAAGTATCAACCCTCCTATCCATTCACTACTACTCTAAATCTATTTAGAAACAAAATCTTTCTGCAATCTGGCTTTGAACAAAGCAAAATGTAACAACAAAGTCCATAATCTGGGAAAACAACAAGCAAGTTAACACATCTTCACAAGTCCTTGAGTACAACCAACTGAAGTTGCTACAGGTAAACTAGTATCATGCACAAGTACTGTAATTGCAAAGTCAGGGACCGCAGAAAGCAAGTTAGGCTAAGGCAGCATAACCACATGACTGAAGGACAACATTGAGCAAATACATTTGCTTACCAATAACTGAAAGGTAGGAAATAGAGCACTGACTGGGGTCGTGGCGAGTGTCTTAATATTCAAGTCCTACAACTGACAAAGAAAATTACAGTGTGGGAACAACACATACCTTTCAACTGGATACTCCATGGGGAAAAATAGTTTTATGTAAATGAAAAGAAGGGGGGAAAAAAAAGGGAGGTCTTATGCATAAGGCAGGCCTAAGAGACAAAACACTGAAAATTCATCTTTCCATTTTTCAGAAGTTCAGCACTGTTATCAGAACTGCAAAATAAGGATTACTCCTGCAGTTTAACTTGAATATTCATCTTACAGTCCTGTTGATATCTTTCTGCATATTTGAAATTAAAGTTTTGAGAAAGGAAAATAAAACTTCAAAGAAACATCTTCTAACAGGCACCACAAGAAAACAAAACTAGGAAGCAGAAGAGCGAGCCACTGGAAAAGCACATGACACAATTAACCGCACAAAATTTCCTGATAGAGTTCTAAGTGAAGCTTTTTATTCAGGCAAGATGAAAGAGAGAGACTCAAGCAGCTTCTCTGGCACCTAGGCATAAAGTTGACCTTTTTTGTTCTTTTCTGGTCAGCCTTTTCCTCAGAAAGGGAATTAATGGGATCTCTGCCATGCAGAGCTGTCTTTTCCAAAAAACTCATACAAGCACAATGGATCTCAAGGGCTTAATCTTTTTATGTTCCACTGAAATTATTCAAGAGGCTCAGATAATATTAAGACAGACACACAGCACAACTCTATGTATATTCCCTTTGGAAGACAATCTTGAGTATTACATTCACATAAATGTTAAAGAACTACTCACACCTTTGCATCTAGTAATTCAAAATTATCCCTTGCAAGAAAAACGACTGAATAATGTTGTTTTACAAAACCAAACCCCAGAAAGCCCAAGATGTTCAGGTTATTTAATTCTAGTGAATAAGAACATTTTTAATCCAAATAAAGTCCCCCACAGTATTGGCCATAAGAAACCTAAAGTACAATGCCGCAAAAAACTACCATTTGCTAAATAGCTTAGGTAAGCAAAGAAGGCATGCAATGGTACACAAAGCCTTCTGTACTCCCTTATCATAAAGTAATATATTTTATAACTATTGCCAAACCTTGGTAATTAACATTGACAGGTCTGCAGTTATTGTGTCACCCACCAAATTCTTAACATAAAATTCACAATGAAATTTAATAGCGTAACGGAGCTCCATTCACTGTTCTTACCCCAAGGAGATGTTCACATAGAATGGCCAGGGTTGGAAGGGACCTTAAAGATCATCTAGTTCCAACTCACCTGCATGGGCAAGGATATCTCCCTCTAGATTAGGTTGCTCAAAGCCCCATCCAACCTAGCCTTGAACACCTCCAGGGATGGGGCTTCCACAACTTCCCTGGGCAATCTGTTCCAATGTCTCACCACCCTCATAGTAAAAAAATTCCTCCTAATATCTAACCTAAATCTCCCCTCTTCCAGTTTTGATCCACTACCCCTTGTCCTCTCACTACAAGCCCTCGAAAAAAAGTCTCTCTCCAGCTTTCCTGTAGGTCCCTTTTTGGTACCGGAAGGCCTCTATGAGGTCTCCCCAGAGCCTTCTCTTCTCCAGGCTGAACAATCTCAACTCTCTCAGCCTGTCCTCATAGGAGCGGTGCTCTAGCCCTTGGATCATCTTCATGGTCCTTCTCAGGACTTTCTCCAAGAGTTCCATGTCCTTCTTACGTGGGGGGCTCCAGAGCTGCATGTGGTATTCCAGGTGGGGTCTCAATCTTCTTGTTGCATAGCCTGCTGCATTATAACATTTCTAGAGTTGATCAGGTAAAGAGGCATATGTGAGCACTGAAAACTGGAGACTGCAGGACTATTCTCACAGTGTAGACATGAGACCACACCAGTGATGGAAGGACATTGAGCATTAATATGCAAATAAGAGATGAAGTCTGTGAAATAAGTGATAAGAGACTGCAGGGAAGAAAAGCAAAAGATAAAAACTACGTAGTAGGAAGATCTGGGCTCTTAGTCATACTTAGGAGTGAAATGGCAAGAAAAGCACAGAAATTTAGAAATGGTGCCGCAGT